ATAGATGAGGTTTGGATTGGTAATTGGATTTATTCAGCTCCTACAGAACATGACTACAATCAACTATAGCACTATCGCTAATTCACAAACTCTACAGTTCACTACAGCAAGCACTAAGTCTTCTTAGCCTGCTGTACCTTCACCGGTTGTCTCCTGTAACAGTTTCCAATGCTGTAGCTTCCTCAGTTTCTGGGTTCACGTCCTTACTAGCCGGTGACTGTCTCACAACTAACTCCAACTCTTCTAACTGCCGTCTCAAGACTCTCAACTCAACTCGACTCCATTCCATTAACACTAACTGAACTCAACAAAGTCAGTCGAGTGATATAGCCTCGGAGCAGACCCAACAGAAAACACTGTTCCTCTGTTGATGTGGGTGGCATGATATCATGTGCTCAATTGCAGTGGCACTGTCCATCTCATGCTGAACTGCATGCCTACACTACCTCTTGCAGCTCTCCTATTGTTCCATGACATCACTGTGGACGTCATGTGTCCCTCTGTTGTGTGTGCAGTCATTGTTAGCTGATAAGTTGTTTACTGTGCCACAACATAGCAACGGCTCTCTACATGTTACAATATTGTGGCGTATAGACCTGTTGCTAAGAGGTGACTCTGTAAACACCAGCCATTGCCAGGTAATACTTGCATGCAACAATAGGGGTGTCACGATACATAATGTGTAGCACCCACAGCATATGTTCACACGATGATGTCACACAACAACATAAGAGGTGATGCAGGCAGTGTTCTCTCTGGGTATGCTCTGAGGCTATATGACTTGACTGACTGTGTTCTGCTCAGCACATCCCGTGTGGAACTGGATTCAAATACCTCCACTGTACCCCTGCGAGTCATAGGAGGCAATGAAAAGGGAACCCTGTTCCTGGAAGATATAAATATGGGGACTTGGCCTTCCGGGTTGGGGGAGTCTCAAATGTGAGACAGTAAAATATGGTCATGAGCCCTCCAGGACTTGGACCTGAGAATGACCGCACTGGCGAGGACCAGCAGCAATTGTATACGACAGACTCATCCTCTCATCAGAGAGAGAATGTTACATAGGATTATAAAAGCAGGTTTCAGTTGAAAAAAAAATTGCTGGTTGTGAGTCTCAAAGGGCTTGTTGCCAAGATGAATTGATTGACAGTAAACCACCAGTCATAAAGTAACTCTGCCTGTTCATGGGGTGAGTGCAGCGCAGCTGAGGATTCAAGTGTTAATGAGCAGGCAATGAAAGCTGAAGAATCTCCATCACTAAGATTCAGTACCAGGAAATGTCTAGTGAAAACACTGCAGAGGAACAGCCATTGTGGACAGTCGTTATGAAGTAAAGACTACTGAAAGTAGATGGAGAAGATTTAGTGTTGAGATATTTGTAGTATTGAAATCAGCAATACTGTTACAGTTCTTTGTAGCTATGACCTGTAAGTTGTCACTAATCCAAAACCCTGTCTATAGTCACTAAAACACGTGACAATATTTTAGTGAAACCCTGATGTAAGGTTTGTCTGGAGAACAAGCTTTTTGTACCTTAATTAGGGTTTTTGGAAAATTGAGCATAAAATCGTTTCAAATATAGTTAAATCATTAATAAGGCATTGCACATTATTCATTTAATAAAATTAAAGTTTTTTTAGTTTCTCGGGATGTGCTCCACATCAACTTCCCTCTTCAAGAATTGGAGGTTTCACTAGAATTATTAATTTTGTACTTAATGACCCAGCATAGACGCTTTGCAATATAATTTCATGACACAGTTGGATTCCTTTCCATCTCGTGAATAATTTTCACTTTCTCACTTATTATTAACTTATTTCTTTTCAATGCCATTGCTATTCATTACTTCAAAATCACTTCCAAAAAATGACACTTGAACAGAACACAAAAATAACAGTGACCACTTCCAACTGACACGGAGGAGGAACAAAGAAGGGACACAGCTGCATTGCATGCTATGCAGATGACAACCTCAAAATACACAGGGATGGTCTCGTTCATACAAAAAGTTGTAATGTGCAAAAAAAAAACTCCCTTCAATACTGACACATGATCCAAAACATGCATAGGAATCAAGTGCTCACTTCAAGAAGTGTTAAATCAAGGAAAATAATACATGTGGCATATGGAACTTTGAGTGGAACAACAAAAACTCTGTGGCCTGTAGTCCACAAGCGAACAATACCAAATGAGCGACCTCTGCATGTCGGTGAAGTTAGTGCTAACTTTAGCAGATAGGTGGTGTCATATGGTCAGCACAACGGATTCCCTTGGCTGTTAATCTCAATTTTCTAGATCGGAGGAACCAAAAAAATGTACCTTAAATCCAGTAAAATGCAAAATGTGAGTCCCTTACATCAGGAGTTCACTGTATTAGGTACAAACTCTTTTACTCCAAATAAAAGTTTCTTTGGGTTTCGATACAATATAGACACTCCCCCACCAATGGTATCTCCACCTTATCGTGGTGGTGGGGTTTGAGAGCTCCTGAGACCCTGAGAGCTATGCCGCTGGTAGCGTAGCTACTGGTAGAGCTGCCCATGCTGGACAGGTCAAGGGGTAGGAGCCAGACAGAGAGGGACACCCTGGTCCTCCAGGTTGGGGGTTGGGCATGAGGCTAACAACCTCCCATCAAAACTAACGAAATTCAAAGGAAAACAAATGAAACAATAAACAAAATCACAGAGTGGTTTGAGAGGAATTGATTAACTATTAATAAAGAGAAAACAGTAGCAATAGCCTTCCATCATCCTCAAACACTACAACTTGAATGCCCTCCAATAAAGATTTATGACACAGTTATCAACTATACGGATCACCCAAAATTTCTGTGAGTCTGGCTAGATAAGCATCTAAGATGGACTATGCATACGCAAAAGCTAGCGAACAACTTATGTAAAGTATGTTTTGCCCTAAGGGTAGTTAGAAGAGTAACTGGACTAGAGACTGTCCGCACATTATGCTCATTTCCAATCTTTGTTATCATATGGACTGATATTTTGGGGCAACTCGGTAAATGCAAAATTGATCTTTAAATTACAGAAGAGAGGTATACGAGCTATGACCCAGGTCCCTAAAATGACCAGTTGTAAACAAATTTTCAAATCATTACATATATTACCTCTACCATCTTTGTACATATACGAAACTCTAATATACATAAAATCCAATTTGATGGATTTCACAACCAACTCAGGATTACACTCATACAACACAAGGAAAAAAGATGACTTGCACATTGTCCCATATAATACAAGTCTATGCAAGAACAACTTTAACAATGTAGGACTTCGACTGCTAAATCATCTGCCACGATATATTAAAGAAATACCAGTACTATATAAGTTCAAAAACGCTTTGAAAACTTACCTACTCGATCACTGTTTTTATAAAGTAGATGAGCTTCTCTCATGTGAGACAAACACTGATCAATTATAATCACATAATTCATGAATAATCGGTTTTAGGAATCCCTACTGCGCAGTTTTCCTTTCTTTCTTCCAGCAACCAAGATAACACAGTCAGAGATATACCTGAATGGGCTATTCTGGAGAGACTGCAGATGACAAGAAGCTGCACCAAGAAGGGAGAACAAATCTAATGAGATGTTGCAGGGTGGTCTACAGTGAAATGTTATACAAGTGGTATCACCAAATTCACCAGTATTATCTCAAAGGCCGCGCCATAGCTTAAGCAGTTAGTCACTGGCTTCCCACCGCTGCGGTGTAGTCAAGTGGGATTTGTGATGGACAAAGTGGCGCTGGGGCAGGTTTTCCCCAAGTACTTCGGTTTCCTCTGCCAATCCTCATTCCATCAAATTCTCCATAAACATTATCACCAGTACAGGTACAATAGGACATATGGATGCCGACGTGCTGAAGGGACCTAATATGGATTCCACCTCACACTATTTGAAATGTTAACTATTGTAATCTATTGTAAACAATTTTAAGTATTGTAACTTTATTCTCTTATTGTAATCAGCCAATGTACAGTAACTGACTTGTACTATATCATGTAACAATGATCTATAGACACGAAATAAATACATACATACTAAATTGTTCATAAATCCGAGGAAAGAGTAGCCGGACGGACCTATTTAAGATGACCTGTAAAATGTTCAAAGGATTTGAGAATTGGATCTTGGAATGTATTATCTCTTTATAGACCCAGAGCATTAAAAATGCTACTTGAACAACTAGATAGCTATAAAGTAGATATCACTGCTATACAAGAGCTGAGGTGGTTGGGTAAAGGAGTCTTGGAAAAGAGGGATCATGTTGTATTCTATAGCTGTCAGAAGAAGAGTCACATGTTTGGAACAGGTTTTACCGTTAATAAAAAAAGGAAGCATCTTATTTTAGACTTTCAGGCAAAATCTCATAGAACATGTGGGCTATGAGTTAAGGGAAAGTTTTTTAACTATAGCTTTATTTGTGCACATGCTCCAACTGAAGATAAAAGTGATGAGGAGAGACTCCTTCTGTGATGAATTGGATGAAATATATGGCGAATGTCCAAAAAGGGATTGTAAAATAATCATAAGGGACATGAATGCTAAAGTGGGGAATGAGGATTATACAGATCGGTTATTGGAAAACATAACCTACATAACGAGTCAAACGATAATGGGATGAGATTAATAAATTTTGCTTCCTCAAGAAACATGGTAATAGGTAGTACAGTGTTTAATCACAAGGATATACATAAACGAACCTGGAAATCCCCTGATGGAAATGTGTTTAATCAAGTTGATCACATCCTAATAGACGTATGGCATTGTTCAGACTTGATGGATGTCAGGAGATACAGGGGGGCCAACATTGACTCTGATCATTACTTACTAATATCAAAGATTAAAAGTCGATTATCTAATGCAAGGAAAATACATGGATCCCAGGCTAAGAAATTGAATTGTGGAAAATTGGTGGAACAAGGAGTTGCAACCAGATATACTGGATTAATTAGTGAACGTGAATGCCTGGCAGGTCTCTCGGATAGTGAGGATGTCAGTGACGGTCAGTGAAACTTGGAGGAGCCTCAGAGATGTTATTATAAATGCTGCTGGTGCAGTCTTAAACCGGTGTCACACTGGGCTAGTTTACTAGCTGCTAATATTGGCGGCTAGTACTTGCGGCTAGCGCTAGTGGCCAGTTAACCTGTCACACAAGGCTAGTACTGGTGGGCTAGTAGGCCAGTTGTTGAACAAACTCACTTTGCACAACATGTCTTCCATGGGTATTAGGCGTGAGGCACTGAGAAACTTGTTGCGCATGGATGTGAGACAGTTATGTGAGGAAATGGTGGAACAACTAAGGAGAAGGAAAAAACGGAAATGGGTCTTAGACTGGATTAGGAGGAGGGATCAGTTGGGAGCCTCTGCACGTCTGATGAGAGAGCTGGCAGAGGAGGATCCCAAAGGATACAGGAATATTATGAGGATGGCAGAGGTGAAATTTGAAGAATTACTTGAGATGGTGTCACCTCTAATAAGAAAGAAAGATACCGTGATGAGAGAAGCTCTAAGTGCTAAAACCAAATTAGAAATTGCTCTCAGATACCTTTCTGCTGGAGAATCCCTGAAATCTCTGCAGTATTTATTCCGAGTGCCGCACAACACTATTTCCACCTTCTTGCCTGAAGTTCTAGGTGCTATCTTTGAAGTTCTTCAACCATACATCAAGGTAAATTGTTATTATTACTATTATTATCATCATCATCATCATTATTATACTTGGTGTTTTGGTGTTACACATTATATACTCAAGGGAATCAGTTGAGTTTTCACAAAAAAAAAAAAAAAAAAAACTGTTGCCATTTGGGTTCAAGGGAAGAAGTAAATTGTAGTAGCGACATAAGATTTAAAAATAATAATCATGAAGAATATAATAAAATCATAATTTTCATTGTTCCTTATAAAGGTTTATTATTAATCATACTGTAGTAGCCTTATTAAACATTACAATTATAGGTACAATATAAGGAATGGTCTGTGAAAAGATAATGCAGTGTAAAAAATGTAAATAACAAGGAGCAGCGTTCTCTACTGCAATTCATTTCCAACACTATTGAAGTCACAAATGTTGTACAGGGCACGCTGTAAGACATCGAGACCCTGTTGGTTTGAAGAGTCGTAAGAACTGGCAGCTTCAACAGAGGTGGATGCTGGAGAAGTCAGCGAGGGTGGCGTTTGTGGAGATCCCATCGAGCACGTCAACTGAGGAGATGCCTGTGAATCGAGGCAATTGAGTCGTTCGATTGTTATTAAATTTTGTATTTTGCCCTGGAGTAGAATGAAGCTCCTGGTAGGCAACGTACGCAGTTGATTTGCTATGTGTTTAGCAAAAGTCTCATACTCGTCCTCAGATTCAGCTGCCACTCTGGCTATATCTTGTAGCTTATTTATAGCGGATTCAAAGGCTGTCAGTTTCTTCATCTTGTTGCCTCTTTTAAGTCCTGTGACGGAATGATCTGAGGGAGGTGACCTGTCAGCTAACCTTTGGTTTGTCCCGGCAGGGGGATGTGAATCATTCAGCTGCTTGTCTTGGCTTGGAGTACTGTGAGACTGATCCAAACAAGTATTGTGGATGGTTTCCTGCTTGTTGTTTACTTCACCTTGCGTTTCCGTGTTTGATATCTCTGCTGTCGATATGTCCTGAAAAGGAATGAAATAATGAGAAAATATGTGGCAAAAAAATAATCTCATTAATTTCATTGCTTTCAGGTACCTCCATCTACTGATGAGTGGAAAGCTATTCAAAAGGCTTTTGAATGCAGGTGGAATTTCCCGAACTGTTGTGGCGCCCTGGATGGAAAACACATCCAGATCATGCGCCCTAAGAACTCCGCATCATTATTCTTCAATTACAAAGGGACTTACAGTATTATTTTGTTTGCCATGGTAGACGCAGATTACTGCTTTCGATATATTGATGTTGGCCGTGATGGAAGATCTAGTGATAGTACGGTATTCCGTAATTCAAGTTTGAACGCAGCAATGGAACAAAACTTTCTCAACTGGCCTACAGGAGGACTATTTGTGGGAGATGATGCATTTCCTATTCAACCCTACTTATTGAAACCGTACTCACACAGATGGCTGTCCGACGAAGAAAGGATTTTTAACTACAGGTTATCAAGAGCACGCCGTGTTGCAGAAAATGCTTTCGGGATATTAGCTGCAAGATTTCGCATATTCTGTAGACCAATTAATCTTTCGGTTGAAACAATAGATCTCGTTGTAAAAGCTGCATGTGCTCTACACAACTGGCTTAGAGTAACTTCTACCACGTACTATCTTCCCCAAGGATCTCTGGACATGGAAGATCCAACTTCTGGTGAACCTGTTCTCGGTGCGTGGCGACAAGAACCTACTGCAATGCTTCCAGTAGATCGTTTGTATTCATCCAATAATTACAAGAGGGACGGAGAAGAGGTCCGTAAACGATATGCAAGAGCATTTATGACAGACTTAGCCGTACCGTGGCAATATGCAGCACTGAGGAAGTCCTAGAGCGCAGGATCTCTGGCAGTTTTTGTTCTTTTTTAGTGAAACATACGGGGAATTGTTTCTGTGTTACTGTTGGAACTCCTATTGCAAACAAGCTATTCTTACAATCTCAAAATCAAGCACAATTATTATAGGTAGCCTATGTAAGTAACAAATTTTGTACTACAAGCAAGAAGTATTTTAACTTATTAAATATTTTAAATTTATTTTAACTAATTAAATATTCTATAAAGGGTTAATCTGAACTTACCAAGTTTGATGTTGATTCCCTTCCTGAAACACCGTTTCGCCAGAATGAATCAGCTACAGTAAACCATACGAGCTTTGGTTTGTAGACGTCATCGAGTCCTGCTCCGCTTTTCCTGGAATGTTTCACCTTATTAAGCTCTAGACGGTAAGAATCACGAAGAACTTTAATTTTCTTCTTTAGCTGGAGAATTGTTGACACTTCCAGTCCCCCGATTTCATCTCCGCCATGAGTTCAATGAAGGCGGCGTCCTTTGCATTCCTCTTCATATACAAATCACATGACGGATTCCACAAACACTCGTACTTTCTGAACATGTTTAAAAATTCTATTATTTCTTTTCCATTCCACTTCAATGTACCGTCACCCATTCTGCTTGCGGAAAGAATATAACTACTACACCAACTGATCTGCACGTGTTTCTCAACTCGCCGCTAGTAAGCCGTGTGGAGCTGTCACACGGGTGAGTAGAGCGCTAGTAGCGAGGGTAGCGAGTGGCTAATGAGTCACGTGATCCCATCTCTGAAGCTAGCGGCTAGTAAAGTTGGACATGTTCAACTTTACTAGCTGCGAGTAAAATGATCGCCGGCAAGCACTAGCACCGACGTTTCTCGGTGTCACACTTGGCTAGTAAGCGGCGAGTGCTTGCTGCTAATCGCTAGCTGCTAGTAAACTAGCCCAGTGTGACACAGGCTTTAGGATGAATGGAAAGGATAAAGTAGAAGAATTGGTTTGATGGAGAGTGTGAGCAAGTGTCAAATAAAAAAAAAAAACAGGCATGTAAGAGAATGCAGCAAAGGAACCATACTCGAGGGGCCGTGTAAAAATATCGTGAAGCGAGAAGAAAAGAAAAAAAGATTGCATAAAAAGAAGAAAAGGGAATATGATAAACAAGAACTGATTGAACTGGAGCATTTAAGAAGTTCAAAAACTTAACCAGAGTCAAAAGGACTTTCAACCTAGAACACCCTTATGTAGAGATAAAGAAGGCACGATACTGAGTAGCGATGAAGCAATATTGGAAAGATGGGCACAATATCTTGAGGAATTATTAAATGGTAACGCCTCTGAACAAGTGGAAGGTATGACCATACACCGGAATCAAGTAATTTTGAGGCTGAGGGGTCAGGGCCGACCATAAAAGAAGTAGAACAAGCTATCAAAAAATTAAAAAATAATAAAGCTCCAGGAGTGGATCTCATCACGGCAGAATTAGTGAAATTTGCAGGCCCTGAATATGCTAAGCACTTACATCAACTAATAATTATGATATGGATAACTGAAATAATCCCAGAGGAATGGACCCTAAGTATTGTATGCCCTATCCATAAGAAAGGCAATGTCATGATAGTGTGACGTGTTGCGCAATGCAGGACACCCTCTCCAACCCCAGCCGTGACGTGGCAGCTCTGGCCACGGTGACATAGCAGGTGAGTCAGCCCCCCAACCCCCACACTGTGACGTGGCACCGCTTCCTACTGTGACGCGGGCAACAGGCGACAGCGAATGGAATAAAAGCCGGCTGAGCAGCAAGTGAGAGTCAGTGTGTGATCAGGAGTGAGTGTGTGAGTCGGAGCAACACAGTTGGAATCTAGCAGCAGTCGCGGAAAGAAGAACCGGACGTGTGTGATAATCAGTGATAGTTCGCGATAACTGAGAAGTAATTGGGAGTGTGTAACACAATGACACTTATATAGCTCCCGTACTGTCAATACGTGTAGACTACTGAAGATAGCGTGAAGAGATTATTGCGAATAGGGTTATAAAGTGTGAAACCCCGCAACAGTGTGAAGAGATTATTGCGAATATGGTTTGTGGGAATTTTTGTGTCATTACTTCATTCCGACAAATACAACTTATGATGAAACACTTCAGGCGTTGGAGGACCGTTTCGGGGACCAACACTTTGCAGCTGCCTACCGCTGCCAATTAAGAACAAGGACGCAGAAACCTGGAGAATCCCTGCAAGACTTTGCCACGGCCATTGAACTGCTTTCCCATCATGCCTACCCCAATCTACCTGCAGACCACATAGGAAGAGAGGCAGGGACAGCCTTCGTATACAGAATACGAGATGCCGATATAAAGATTCAACTACTGCTGGGAGGGGAGAAGGTAAACGAGGCCCTCCAACAAGCACTAGAGCTGCAGGTGGTACTGGTAGCAGCTAGACCTCACGAAGGTAGCACCAAGACATACCGGAAGTACCGATCGCTCCCCACCCAACGAGGAGACAGAAGACAATCAGGGCACTGGAGTTGTGGAAAACTGGGCAACCTCGGGAATAACTGCCCCTACGAAAGGAAAGCTAATAATGAAATGTGCCGAGAACATGAAGATAGGCCAGCCAGATACACACGGGAATTGCCAAGAAGGCACAACGAACACACGAACAGGAATGGTACCCAACCGTCGGGAAACGAGCGACGGCCGGCGGACAGGGGCGGACGCCGGCATATGCATTAAGGCCCCCACACGTGATACCTGCACAGAGCGAGGGAACAGTAATGGCTAGAATAGAGAAGCAAGAAATGCAACAAATAATCGAAAAGCTAGCAATAATTTAGGCGAAAATGGACGCCGACTCGAAAGCCTGGCGCAAAGAGATGGCCGCCTGGTGAGAAAAGACTGCCGCGGAGATGAGAGCAACCCAAGCAAGGACGGCACAACAAGAAGAGGTCCTTTATCCTCTGTATCCGCTCATAATCGTCTTCTCCTGTCCCATGTACTGTTGCAGATATTCTCAGAGAAGGATAGTGCGGCTTCCTGTGGCTGGATGAATGCCTTCGCTTTCTTGTAGCGTTCATATGGACATGCGGATATCACATGGATCGGAGTGTCGATCTCTGCTTCAACTTCAATCACAGATATCATCAGTTTATTCATCTGAATCTTCTGGTCACCAACTTCTGTTTCATTAATATTATCTGTGCTTCCAAGAAGTGTTGGAGGATAATACCTGAAATCCTGGATGTGTGTGAGATCATGAGGGTAGTATAGGGCTCCATCTGGGTTCACTTTGAACCCGGCCTGGGTACTGACCCTTGTCCTCAACTCTTCCTCCGGAAGGGGCTTCACAAGGGGCTGATTTCGAGCTTCCAACACTATGGTATGGAGCTTATGCAGGTCCTGTCGTACAAGGCGAGGAATGGGGTTGCAGCATGCCACTATACCCTGTAATTCTCTTGGAAGATGTTCAGCAATCTGAAGCATCATGCGGTTTGGCAGTACATGCCCTATACTCTCGTCATTCTCCCTCGAAATTCTGTCATGCCATTGATACAGTTCCCACAGACCATACAACTGGCGAGTGTCGAACAGTCTTCTATTTCGTCGGTACAGGAGCATGTGGCTGCCTTCTCGGAGAATTGGCTTCTCATATCTCGTCTTGCATATCTCAGTGCTTTGCTTGAAGACAGACCATAGGAGGTTCTTTTGTACATTGGCTGCATCCAACAATGCATTCTGCATCATGTCATAAATGTAGAGCAAGCAATGGGTGTCCTTACAAGCATACATCACGAACTCAGCAGGCAGTGGCCTGATTCTCCAGTCTGCAAGCTGATATTGTTTATCTGCTACCACATTACAATAATGCTTCATCAGGAATGCTAACGACAGTTGTGCAAATTTGAGGAGTTTGGCTCCTTCATAGGTATCAAACATGTTCACCACATACACGCTCAGGTCTCGCTGTAGCCATTTTATATCATTGATGGCCCCATGAAACACCTTGATGATGCTTGGTTTGGTGAAGATCTCATTGAGGCAACAGAGTTTGTCCCTGAGAAGCAGTGTGTCAATGATGTAATCTGTATCTCTTGTTGAAATCTGCATCAGACATGTAAACCCTTGGAAAGAGCGGTATGAGTGATGCTTCAAGTCCACAGCAATTTCTGAGTAACTGGAGAGGTCTTGCAGGAGACCAGGTAGCTGGTCTGCATATTCCACCATGACCAGTGGTGTTTCTTCAAGAAGCTTATACATACGTGGTTTCACGCGCTCCAGCTGTTTGGCAGATGAAGTAAAACGTTCCAATTCAAATTCATAAGGATGACTAAAACTTCCTTTACCATCTGTAAACTGGAGTGTTATGGCTAGAGGCTCTAATGAATTTGGTTTTTCTTTAATTCGTGGTTGAAATGGTGATGAAGAATTGTCAATTTTATCCTTGAACTGAATCTGAGGACGCTGAATATTCTTTGCAGTCAGCAATCGGACAGGCTGTGGACCATAACTGCTTTTCTTGGATAAACTATGTGACTGGATTACGTACCAACTTCCATTAACAGGTCGAGCACAGGAACCCACGGGTTGAGGATTCCGACGGATACATGACACCTTATCCAAGTTGCAGGCACTTGACATCCACACAGGGCGATCTTCTGTATTCCTGGTTTCAACTCGATTGCTTGCGCCACTCTGAAGTATGCTCTAACTATATAGGAATTAGTCTGTTGTGCATAGCATATAAAATATTTTCCAACATTCTATTTAACAGACACTCTTCCTTTGTGGAAGGCATAATTCGGGATTACCAATGTGGGTTTCGTCAAGGAAGATAAACAAACGATCATATTTGCACTATTTGCCAGGTCCTTGAAAAGTGTAATGAATTCCAAATTGAAACACATCATCTTTTCATTGACTTCCGAGACTCCATAGAGAGAGATAGTCTTTTTCTGGCAATGGAAGAGATGCACATTCCACGGAAGTTAATCGCCTTAGTCAGAGCCACTGTGAGAAAGACCCAATGCCAAGTTAAGATTCAGGATATGTTGTCCAGCCCTATAATAACTAGAAATGGAGTTTGACAAGGGGATTCCCTAGCCTGCCTTTTGTTCAATATAGCATTGGAGAAGGTAGTTAGAAATGCAGGCATCAACACAAGGGGAACTATATTCTGTAAGTCAGTTCAAATTTTGGCATTTGCAAATTATATTGATATAATTGGTAGAACACAAAAATCTATGAAAGAAGCTTTTCTTAATTTGGAAAGAGCAACAAAAAAGATGAATCTACAAATTAACCAAGAAAGACTTTGCTAATGGACCTGCATATATTGAAATTGGCTCATATAAATTTGAGGATGTATGTAGTTTCACTTACCTTGGATCAGAAGTTAACTGTAAAAATGATATCAGTGATGAAATAAAAAAGCATGTACCTGCGGCAAATAAATGTCTCCACTGCGGCAAATAAATGTCTCCATGGCCTTAGGAAACACCTGAAATCCCAATTAATACACAGGAAAATCAAAACTATGATGTATAAAGAACTTATAAGATCAGTGCTATCTTATGCCTCTGAGGCCTGGCCACTGTCAAGAGCAGATGAAAGACTGTCAAGTACGAGTATATTTGAAAGGAGGATCTTGAGATAATCTTAGGACTGGAGGAGCTGGAGGAGGAAGGGACTCATATTCCACCAACAAACGGACCCTTGAAGACAGGTGGAAAAGAAATGCCCAACCCAAGAGCATAGGAGGTTTGATTTCCACTGAATTGGTCAATATCCATGAAGCGTAACAGGAGAAAACCTGTGAATAGGAGCTCAGATTTTTTATGGGAGGGTTAAGGTATGAACCAAACATAAATAAGTATCCAGATTTAGCTCACAATTTCCCTAAAAGTGGAGATAAAAATTGTGGCAAAAATCATAATGGACAGGCTGCTAACTCTAATACTACCAACTCAAATCAAGGGAAATCTAATCAATCTACATCTCATTTTCTTAAGGTATGTCATCAGAATATAAGAGGATTATCTGATAAAACCGAACAACTGTTAAATTCCTTATTACCTGACCCC